AGGTTTGTAGGACTTCAGGCAAATCTCTTTGGAGTAAGTGAGCATTGCCAGGAGTGGGCAAATTGACAACAACTAGAAAAAAACCTGAAAAGTTGGGTGCCAGCTGTCATTTATAAGGTGCATTGGCTACCTGACTCCTGGGATTTACAATCTACTTTTGATTGTTGCCTTAAGTTTTTGCACTTTGAATATCCTTCTAATCTCATATAAAGAGCCAAGTTCTAGCAAATGACCCACGATGACACAGAAACCTCAATCTCAGAGTTGGCATTCCAGCGGGAACCCTCCTTAAAAGGACAATCTTGTAGGAATGTCATTTGCAGCGTGCTCCATATTGCTGAGGAAGACTCTGAATATGACCCCTGACTTGTCACAGCCTGTCAGTGGAATGATGTGATAACATTCTACTGCACAGATAGAGAGGGAAGTTATGTGTGAGGGGGCGAGAAGTCAATACGTCAATGCGGGACGGAGTGACCGAAATCAACATTGCTGGACAAATTCAATTTTGGAGAGAGACAGACAGAGAGGGAGAGAGAGAAAGGGGAGAGAGAGAGAGAGAGAGAGAGAAAAGAGGGGGGAGAGAGAGAGAGAAAAGAGGGGAGAGAGAGAGAGAAAAGAGGGGAGAGAAAAGAGGGGAGAGTCAAAGGGGGAGGAGAAGAAAACCTTTATTCACTGGAGATGACGTTTTCTTTTGTTCCCAGAACTCTTGCACATCACAGCACAGCTTTAGCTTTTAAAGTGACAAGACTTTACTCCCGTCTGCTCGATATAAAACAATGTTCTCTAGAAACACATTGCCATAAGCTTGCCTTACATGGGCAGACGTCTCATTGCTTGAAACCTCTTGGGCCAAAATCCTCTGTGGGACATTTATTAGAAATGCATGCACAGGGAATGTAGAGTCTATTATTTCCTTAGAAGTAGTTAGAAAAGAGATCAGCTTGATGGAAAAATTCATATCGCTCTTTGTAAGTGTTTATGCAGGGGCATCCCAAGGCCGGGTGTCACCCGGAGCGGATACCGGGTGACACCCCACCACAACGTCATCGTGGCCATCTTGGTGATGGACGCCGGCAGAGAGAGGAGGGGAGGTTCACCTGGCGGGATAAGGTATGCCGCTGGGTCCCCTCCTCTCTCCTGCAACCCTCGGGCTCTCGGTCCATGGCCGAGTGCCCTACTTTTCAGAGGGAGTGACACCAAAATTACTGTCAGTCATTTTGGTGTCACCCCCTCCAATGGTGTCACCCAGGTGCAGGACGCACCCCTCTTGTGACGCCACTGTGTTTATGTATAATTAGGGTGACAGCTATCTCCTAATTGTATTCCTGTGTTGTCCCCTATCACATGAGCACCTGGTTGAAACTACCATGCTGACACGTACTGCTAGAGTTGCCACCTTTTCTTCAAGCAAAACCCGAACACATTTAAGCGACGCGCAGACTTTTTTTGGGGAGAATGAGTTGTGGCTTATTCATATGTAAATATCACAGTTGAGACTATTTTCAGTGGGGAGGTCAGTAGCCCCTATCTTAATTTTGGTTGCCCCTGTGTGTCTGACATCTTGTGTCCGGGTTTCAGCTGCCATGAAACCCGAACACAGCATTCAAAACCCGAACTGTCCGGGTGAATCCTGGACAGGTGGCAACCCTACGTACTGCACAGGCATGGACCACCATTTTCAGTAAACCAGTTCAGTGCAATGAACGTGGGAACGTATAGATAGGAAGGGTCTGAAAAAGGCTGGAGGGCATCAGTAGCATTGAGATGCAAAAAGAATGATGAAAAAAAGGTTTAACCTCTTGCCGTCCACCCGTTAAGAAAAAACGGAGGGACGGCAGACTCGCATCCGCGGGTTGCCGTCGCCAGACGGCATTTTTTTCCTGCGCGCGCGCACGGGCAGGAAAGACCCGCTCGTTACTACAGCTGTTAACGGCTGTTTCACATACAACCGATCAGCGGCTCTATAGCTAGGTTTCGCGCGCATGCGCAATTTTAAGGCTTGACATGTTTTGTGTCTTTACCCGACGTGACCCCATCTTTCATATTTTACCAAAAAATTTGGTAATAATAAATGTTTGAGAATTTAATATAGGGGGAACTGTTTTTTAAAAAAAAAAAAAATCTGTAGTTTTTCCCTAATATATTAAAAAATAAAACCCCCAGTGGTGAATAAATACCACCAAAAGAAAGCTCTATCTGTCCCCAAAAAAGGGTATAAAATTCATTTCAGTACAGCGCTGCATGACGGAATAAATGTCAGTCAAAGTACCGCAGCGCTGAATACTGAAAAATGGCCTGGATGGGAAGGGGGTTTAACACCGCGGATGTCAACTGGTTAAGCAGTATTTTACAAAAAGTGGTAATTGCTTGTTATAAACAATGCTTTAGAAAACTAAATGTGATCCATATCTGAAAAAAAAGAAATCAAGGCGCATGGAATTGCTGTATTTTTCTTTGGAGATGTTTCACTTTCTCAATTAAAAGTTAGTCGGACGATCAGCGAAACGTCTTCAAGAAATATACAGCAAGTCCCGTTGCCTTGATTCATTTTTTTGCAGATATATCATGACCTGGATGAATGAGAACCTTCACAGACATAAATGTCATCTAGTTTGGGTTTAGATCTACTTCAAACTGACGCAGTCACTTAGTTCATATAAGGCTTAATTATTCTTCAGCATACCCACAGACTTCATCGCAACCAGTGCAAAAGACCCAGTGCTTCTGGATATAGGAGAGCATATGGACTCCTCGAATGGTACAGCCTTGGGCTTAGTGGCCAAGCCCTTGGTCTGAGCACTCTCACATTACAGGGGGG